ACACGTATGTATATAATATATAATAACTTATATGTATAGCTATTATAAAAAATAAATAATAATTACAAATAAATTGTATAAATAATTTAAAAAAATTATATATATATATATATATATGTAATTTTATTTTAACTGTATTTTGATATTAGTGTATATATATATATATATATATATATATATTTATATCAAAATACACTTACAATGAAATTATATATATCTATGTATATTACACTTAACGACCGTGGACGTACTATGTACGTCCGCCAAAAAAAGGTTGTTAAGGATCGCGGCAAATAGGAGCCCTGCACTTACCTGGACATGTGATCCATGGCAATCATGGTCAGGGGGGACTGCCGAAGACCCCAGCAGTTCCCCTGCAGCAGCTCTGGCTACCCCGACCATCCAGGGCCATGTGATCACCATGGTCACATCGCCGCAATAGGAGTCTAGGAGCTGCCAGCATGGGGAATTGTCTGAGCTAAAAAGTAAAAAAATATATATATATATTGCAAAAGTACATGGCTGCACTCTCGGTCTTAAATAAAAAATAACTTTTATTCCATATTCTTAAAAACAGGATGAACGTTTCAGTCCTCCTCAATCCTTGAGGAGGACTGAAACGTTTATCCTGTTTTTGAGAATATTGAGTAAAAGTTAATTTATTTTTTTTTAAGACCGAGTAGCCATCTACTTTTGCAATTTGGATACTGGAGCCCTGGTAGTGCACCCGGCCATGAAATTTTGAAGTCTGAGTGCAAGGTATTGTAGCCTATATATATATATATATATATGTATAATAAAAATATATTTAATATAAACCATTTTATAATATATTGTGCATATATAATGCATATATATGATTTCATTACAAGTGTACTTTGAGACATACACATATATCTCAGAATATACTTATAATGAAATTATATATATATATATATATATATATAAAATATATTATAAAATGCTTTAATTGTACTATATTATACATATATAGGAAATAAAGTGTGTGTGTGTATATATACACACACATATTATATGTATATGTGTGTGTATATTATATATATTGCATAGTTACATATAGTTACATAGCTGAAAAGAGACTTGCGTCCATCAAGTTCAGCCTTTCTTACATTTGTTTTTTGCTGTTGATCCAAAAGAAGGCAAAAAACCCCAGTTTGAAGCACTTGCAACAAACTAGGAAAAAAATTCCTTCTTGACCCCAGAATGGCAGTCAGAATAATCCTTGGATCAAGCAGCTATTACCCTACATTGAAAAATTATATCCTTGACGTTACTGTTACAGTATTCTGTTTTTGCAAGTATGCATCTATATATATATATATTTATATATATATACACACACACACACACACACACACACACACACACACTGAATACAAATATGAGTGTTTACAACAGAAAAACCTATCACAACGATGAAATCACCAGTAGAAATGCAGTTTTTGTATTAAAAAAATGCAAAAAACAAATATGAATGCTAACTTTTTTGGCTAAGTGGCTACTACAAAAGACTGGACATACCCTATTTTGAATACCGTGGGTTGTCTACTTTTACAAATGCTATGCCATTATGGGGTTAATTTTTATTCCTGGGCTGCTATATGGTCTCAAAGGCAACATAGGACCAGCAAACCAAATTTCAATGTGCCAACATGGTAAAGGGGAAAGCCCTACGTTTGACCCCTATATGTTTGTAAAAAAGCATAAAACCTGTACATTGGAGGCACTGTTGTACTCAGGAGATATTGTTGAACACATATGTGGGTGTTCTTTGTAAGTAACACATGACAGGAACTGAAAATCCATGCCTAAAGTACAAGATGAGACAAAAACACAAACAAATGACTACCCAAATGTTTGACAAAGACTGGTGGTAGAATTAGTGCACTGCATGTGTTAAAATACCTACATTTGAAATGCCCTAGGATGTTTACTTTTTAAAATATATGGTTTGATAGGGGTAAATTACATTGTCCAACTTCAAAAATGTCCCAAAAAGGACATGGGTGCATCATGACCAGCTGTGAAAATTCCAAGTTGGAAACCTGGAATGCGCACCCTCCAAATAAGGTCTTTTAGCCCCCAGAGAACCCGACACACCTATAAATGGGTGGTATCACTGTACTCAGGAGATGTTGCTGAACACATATTGGGGTGTTCTTTGTCAGTAATACATAACAGGAACTGAGAATCCAGGTCTAAAGTACACATTAAAAAAAGGTATTAATGAATACGTAAAAACGTATTTAAAAATATAACGTAGAAATTAAATATATTTATATATATATATATGAGTAATTTCATTCTTACTGTATTTTGATGTTAATATAGATAGATAGATAGGTAGGTATGTAGATAGATAGATAGATAGATAGATAGCTATCAAAGTACACTTAATTATATAATATAGAGGAACATTTATTCATACTTACCGTAATTTTATTTTCCTGGCTATTATTCATGGCAGCATATGCATATGGGTTAGCTCCTCCCCTTACAGCTGACAGGACAGGAATAAAACAAAAAACAACTTTGAAAGGTGTATCCCTGTATAGGTCTCTCGGTCAGTAACAAGCTCCTACAGAAGATGTAAAACCAACACTCGGTGGGTATATGCTGCCATGCATAATAGCCAGGAAAAGAAAATTACAGTAAGTATGCATACATTTTTTCTGGCTAATCATGGCAGCATATGCATATGGGAATACCCAAGCTTACTAGGGAGGGACAAGGAGACTGAATAGATGCAAAATAAGTTTAATGCAACATATCAGAACAAACTCATAATTATTAAGAGTGAAGAGAATGAACTGAATAAAGGACTTTACATCCAAACTGAGTTTTATTCGCAGCTTTAAGATACAGTTTGTAGTGACAAATGAATGTGTTCAAAGAAGACCAAGTGCCAGCCTTACAGATACTGTCAGGAGAAGCATTTGCCACAGAAGGCCAAGATGCAGCAACTGCACGAATAGAGTGTGCCTTGATTCCTTTAGGTAGAATATAAACTGATAGAAATGGGGTACATTGGCTTTGTAATGTAATGCATGATCATACACTGTAACTAAATTCCATTATTGTTTACCTTTCAGGTGTTTTATAAAAAAAATAATGCATTTTATGAGCTTTGACGTTGGCATTTAGTGAGTGAGAGTGCTAGATATGGTATATATATATATATATATATATATATATATATATATATATATGTATAGTTTATATTTTCTTATATAACTTCTTATCTGTAGCTATAGCAAACAAAATTGAGAAGATAGGAAATATACAAGAAATATTTTCTTTCTATAGTGCATAGTCTGTAGACCTGGAGTGCCTAAAGTGAAGATTCCTAGATGTTGTACAACTACAACTCCCATGAGGCTTTACATGCTTTTGGAATGCTTTTACAATGGCAAAGCATCATGGAAGCTGTAGTTTAAAAGATTTGGGGATCTATCTTTAGGGTACCCCTGCTGTAGTCTGTGATGCTGGTTACCTCTGTAACAGCACTAGTGAACAACAATCTGTACTGTATGAAACCTCAGCAGGTACTACGTAAAGAGAAAGGTGAGACTTGGTGACGTTTTGCCTAATTCCCGTGTGTTGGCTTATAATTTATATACTGTGATAATGTAGTGAGTTGAGATTGACATCCTTTATGGTTTATTCTTGCATGTTTTTAATCTGAACAATTTCTTTTTTTTCCTCCTGAGGTTCATTTTATAATTTGTGGCATTTTGTTAGCACTAGAATTCTTTCTTTTTCTTACACTCATATATTCTAGTAATTGAGTTTTTCATACTTGGTTTTCTTGCCATGGCTGTCTGGTTTTGTTTTGCCTGTAATTCCCTTTTTACTCTCTTTTTATCTCTCTTTCTATTGTTCCTGTAAAATGGTCAATATTAGCTGACTAGTGAACTTCCTTTCCCCTTTTTATTTGAGGAAAGATTTAATGTCATTTATGTGGAGTGTACATGATTCACATACTCAATCAATTCTTTAGCTCTTGATCACAGAATTCAAGTCTAGAATAACAAAAGATTAAGCAAATGTTCTTTCTTCTTTTTCCTAAAAAAAATTGATTTATTTTATTGTTTTTAGTACACGCACAGTATTCCCAAGAAACTTTCAATAGCTATATTAATTTCATTTTTTACTGATCAATAAAAAAAAAAAATCAAACTTTCTAGATCATGTGTCATAACCATGTCTTTATTTACTGTTAAACGTCACTTGTGTAA